GGGCAATGATCTCCACTTGGCGTTGGAGATCCACCTGGGCGGCCAATTGTTCCCTCAAGCTCTTCACCTCCTCCAGTTCCTTGGCCGCTGCACTCGCCGCATCCATTCTCTTCTTCTTTTCCCTCATCATCCTGAACTTCCACTCCATTATTTTCTCATCCTCCATCGTCTGCCGCTTCAAGGAATCTTCCTTTGCATCTCATTCTCTCATTGCAGCTTCTTGCTCGTCCTTGGGAATATACATGGCAACCTCCTCCTCTTCTCCCAAAGACAAGTTAGCAACCCATTCTGAGATTCTTTTTTCCATCTCATCGTTTTTACTCCCACTGTACTGCCCTCGTTGTTCTCTCCTCCTTTCCAGCGGCTGCTCATCTTCCTCCTCTTGCTCTTCCATTTCTTCTAGTTTCTCCCCCTCCTCTTTTTTTAATCTTTCCTTCTCTTTGGCCATCTCCTCCTCTATTTTCTTCAACTTTGCCGCCTTCGTATAGGGCTTGGTGGAGGCACCACCCCTGGTATCTACTCTACACGTAAACGTGTGCCAAAACCCCAGGGGAAAGAGGAGACGCGAGAGGGTCCCCCAAAGGGAGAGCCCAATGAGTAAACCATACATCGGGTAATCATCCATGGTGATAGGTGCACGACAGGACAGTCCCACTTCTCACCACTTAGACCGACCTGCAGACTCACTGACAGACTCTCTAACGACCACAGGGTAGAACCCTGTCAGCTATGGTCGCTAGCCTAGACCTACTCTAAGGCTGTCACTACTGAACCAGTGGCTGATCTAGAGGCATTTAAGGAGATTCCCCATAACTCCTCAAGAATTATTTAATGTCGCAGACAGGACGACGTGATCAGCTTGGTCTTTACCTGTTGCACCGCCCACAGCTCAGCTTTTCAGGCCTACCGTGCCACACCGAGCAGCCCGCCGGCCTGTACCGGTCCTTGGAAGGGTTCGTATCCCCCGGGGCAGTCGAGTCGTCAGACACAGTCTTTAGCCCTACTTAGTCTGACAGGGGTTCGGGTCAACAAGGCCCTCAACGCTTAGACTGCCTGTTGTTTCAGGCCACAACTCAGCCTTTCAGGCCCACTGTGCCATACCAACCGTGTCTAGCCGGTCAACACTGGTCCTTGGGAGGGTTATGCCCCCCTGGACAGTTGGATCTGCCACAGTCTCAACCCTACTAGATCCGGTAGGGGAGTGGTCAACCAGGCCTATCCTTCATCCACAGAGTACTATCGCGTAGGACAGAAGAGACTCGATGCAAAAAAAAGAGACAGACAGACTCAGACTCTGCAAGTACCGTAGGGTGAGTGCACATCCACAGGGTGAGGGAGTAGGCTGAGGGCTTGGCGAGATGTTACCAACTCCAGCTTGGTCAAAGTCTTGGTCAACGGCGCCGGTCAACTCTTCGGTCAACGCTTGGTCAATGCGGCAAGACCCCGGTCAACACCCCGGTCAACGTCCGGTCAACCCTCCGGTCAACTCTCCACCTCGGCTATGGCTGCCGGCACCTTCTCCTTCGCCACCCTTGTCTCTTTCTTCC